AACAAAAAAGACCATTGTTTCATGTTTACCTCATTATCTCCCCAAAACCTACTCAAAAATATAAAAGAGGCTCAGCGCTATACTATAAAATAGATCAATAGGTCTTAAACTTCGCTGAGATCAGTGTCCTGTAACAACTGCCTCTAACAGTCACCCTGGGACAGTCTCCTGTAACTAGCTCCAGAGGAGCCCATGCTCTCTTCTGGCCTCTGTGGGCACCCATGTACTAGTGACATACAAACACACACACCGGGGAGGAGGAGAAATAGCTATAGAGAGAAATGAAAATAGGGCTGGAGAGATGGCTCAGCACTGGCTGCTCTTCCAGAAGATTGAGGTTCAGTTCCCAGCACCTGCATGGCAGTTCATAACTTCAGCTTCAGAGGATCTGACACCCTCATGTGGCCTCCTATGCACAGCATGCACAGACATACAAACAGGCAAAACATCCAAACACCAAGACACATATAATAAAATCTAAAAAAATCCCAAAACTTTGAAATAAATACATAAAATAAAGTCTACTAATTTTAAAAAGTCAATCAACATATTCCAACATATAACCAACAGAAAGAAGACAGGAAGAAAGAGAACCATTATGTCTCACACACACAAAAAGGAAATAATGTAAATGCATTTTATTAAGTGAAAAGCCAATCTAAGAAGGTTATATACTATGTAATTACAACTCCATGGCATCTTAGAAAACAATGAAACTATAAAGACAGTAAAAACTAAGTGATCACTAGAGATTAAATGGGATGGAGAAGATGGGGACCACACCAAGGCGAGACACGGGTAGTGTAAAGAGACTATGTTAGTAGCTTTCAACCAGCTTTTCTGTAAGTCTAAAACAGATCTAAAAATAAAGCCATGGGTCAGTCAGACAGTTCCAAAAGCAAAGGTGCTTGCTTCTAAGCCTGACGACCTGAGTGTGAACCCCAAAACCCATATAGTGGAGGGAGAGAACAGATAATCCCAAACTGTCTTGTGACATCCACAAGTTCACTGTGGCACAGGCACGCCACACACACACACACACACACACACACACACACACACACACACACACTAAATAAATAAACAAGTAATTATTAATGTTTAAAAAAGTCAAAGTTTCAGCTTATGCAATTTTAGCTTATTTCTCTGAGCTCAGAGAAGAGCAAGGAACTATTAAGCTTACAAAGGGAATCTTTAAAACTGGGTTAGAAAAATGGTTCCATGGTTAAAGTGCTTGCTGTTTAAGTGTGAAGACCCGAGTTCAATTCCCCAGCACCCATGTAAAAAGCCAGCTCTGCAGCACATTCCTGAAATCCGGCAAACCCAGCTGTAGCAGAGAGCCCTGGGAAGGCAGTGACTGAAGACACTGACATTGATCTCTGGTTTCCAAACACGGATATGTGCACTGGAACACACACACAGAGACACACACAGACACACACAGATACACACACACTCATGCAAACAGAGAAGTAAAGTTAAATAAAAATCCCATCACTGGGACAGCAAAGGCAGGTAGACCTCTTTGAGATCATGGTCAGTCTGGTGTACACAGTGAGCCCAGGCCAATCAAAACTACATAGGAAGGCTGCTTCAAAGAAGAAAACAAAAAACAACAAAAAAGCATCCTTCATAATATCAAACACAATAAATTTCTAAACAAATAAAACAAAATATATGAACACTCCCTATGCTGAAAACTACAAGTGATAAATCAAAGAACCAAGTCCAAATTCAACTCAAGTAGACTGTGACATTAAATCTCACTCTCTTAAAGAGACATCATCTAATTTATTTCTCAAGTTCCAAAATGTCTCGTGATGACAGGAAAGTAATTTTTTTGTTTACATTTTACAGAGCAAGTTGGAGCTAGAGCTTGTATGGAGATTAATAAGTGATATAAAAGGCTAAAAGTGAGTCATGCCTCTAGAGAAATAAAAACAAACGTTCATGCAAAATCACATGTGAATGTTGACAGCAATTCTATCCCTAAGTCCCCAAAGTTGGAAGTAGCCCAAGTGGCCATCAATGGGTAAATGTACAAACTACAGTGTATCCTTGGCATGGAGTACTAGTCAGCAATTTTACACACACACACACACACACACACACACGTATACACCAACCACAGATACATATGATGACTCTCAAAGGCATTGTTATACAGAATAGAAGGTGCCATTTTCAAAAAGTTACATATGTTATGACTCTCTCTGAATAATATTCTCATAAAGACAAAATGATGATTGATATAATAATCAGCTACCAAGGTTAGGAACTGAGAGAATAACTACTAAGGGTTAGTATGTAGGAGATGCTGAAGGCAGTACCTGTTCTGTATCCTGACTGTGATACGGTCAGATCAATCTCCAACATGTGGATAACTACTAAGGGTTAGCGTATGGGAGATGCTGAAGGCAGTACCTGTTCTGTGTCTTGACTGTACGGTTAGATCAATCTCTGACATGTCAAAATGTGAAATGTGGGCCAATTTATAGCATTTGAATTTGAAATGAAAGCTTGTGCTGTGTGTGAGTTCTGTGTGCATTACACATACCTGAGTGTGCCAGTGTACATGCCTGTGCACACACACGTGGAGGGCAGAGCTGGATGGCAGATGTTTCCCTTATATTCTCTACTTTATTACCTTGAGACACTGTCTCTGAGTTGGAAACTTGCTTCCTTGCTAGTCTGCCTGACCATCCACCTCGCACCTGTCAGAGGTGCCTGTATGTTCTGAAATGCTAGGGTTGCCAGGTATACACAGCCATGCCTGGCTCACATGCAGCCATGCCCAGTTCACACGCAGCCATGCCTAGCTTTTTATGTAGTTGCTGGGGATTGAAACTCAGACCCTCATGTTTGCTGAACGAATATAACACAGTGGTCCATTTCCTTAGTCCTTGGAAACAAAAAACAAAACAAAATCATTTATTCATAGTAAAAGGAACACTAAAGAAAAACTGAGATTTCACAATGTACCAACTAACTGACTAAAATGAAGAAACAGTGGACCCTCCAGCATGGCTGCTGGCGATATACAATGATATCAGTACTTTTGTTTGTTTGTTTTTGTTTTTCCGAGAAAGGGTTTCTATGTGTATTCCTGGCTGTGCCAGAACTCACTCTGTAGACCAGGCTGGCCTCAAACTGGGATTAAAGGTGTGTGCTACCACACCCGGCTTGGTGAAGTCACTTTGTTTACTTCCCTCCTTCCTTTTCTTTTCTTTTCTTTTCTTTTTTTTTGTTTTTTGTTTTGTTTTGTTTTGTTTTGCTTGAGACAGTGTTTCTCTGTGTAGCCCTGGCTGTCCTGAAACTCACTCTGTCCACCAGGCCTCTAACTCTCAGAGATCCATCAGCCTCTGCCTCCCAAGTACTGGGATTAAAGGCGTGCGCCACCATGGTCATTTTATTTCTTACAAAATGAAGCATACATCTACTGGTTGGCAAAGCCATTCTCCTTGCAGACCCTTTAAAAGAGAGCTGAACTTTATCTATATAAAGCCTTATCTGCATGGATGTTAATGATTAATTTGTGGCAGCCTTAAACTGGTAATAAACCAAATTTTTGTGAACTGGTGAATGAATAAGCAAACTACATTACATCCCTTATATTGGAACATTAGCATAGGCTTAACATTTTGGTACACAGGAGGGTGAATTTCAAAATTATCCTAATTGAAGAACTCAGATTTCAGGAAGAAATCTGAAGAATTACTATACGTTTTCATTTATAAAACTTGTAGAAAATGCAGAACAATCAGTTCATCATGTTAGAAATCAGATCTGTGGCCGTCTGGGTATAGGAAGCAAGGAGACCATATTTAAATGCTCAGTAGGTTAAAAAAAAAAAGTTCACAGTAGTAGGTTATAGAAAAGGGCTAAGCAGGGTCTGGAGAGAGATGGCTCAGAGATAAGAGTATTTGCTGCACTAACAGAAGACAAAGGTTCAAATCCCATCTCCCATCTTTAACTCCAATTCCAGGAAATACCCTCTTCTGACCTCTATGGCATATATACATAAATGCAGGCATTACACATAAAATTTCAAATTTTTTTAAAAGTTAAGTAAAAAAAATTTTAGATAAACATTTAACATAGTTAATAAGTGTGAGAAGTAAACGAAAAGTGTTAAATGGGTCTTCAAGTGTCCCAGTAGTGACTCTATTACTGTCTCTTTAAAGTAAGATCACTGAGACAAGGCGAGAATAAATGACTTGTCCCTCAGCTACCTCAGTCAGAGCTGAGGTTCTAACCCAACTTCTTTCCTCTTCCACGTCTGAGAGCAATACTGGAGCAATAGAGAAAAGCAGAAGACGCTGTGAAAGCTGTGATGTTGCATGGTGTCAAACAACAACAACAGCAAAAAGGAACACCTCTTTTGTTTGTTTGTTTTGTTTTTCGAGACAGGATTTCTCTGGCTATCCAAGAACTCGCTCTATAGACCAGGCTGGCCTCAAACTCTGAGATTCCCTGCCTCAGTCTCCCAAATGCTAGGATTATGGGTGTGTGGCCCCGCCGCCTGGCTAAAATGAAGCACTCTTAGCTCCCCAAACAACACACTCCACTTCTTGAAAGTATCTTTAGAGAGCCTTCTCTGAAATCGACCTGCACGGGGTCTTAGGACGCACACTCCCTGGAAAGGAAACGGGAACTGCTAATTAGAAAAGATCGGTGTGTGTGGATACTTCGTAGTTATAAGGATGGTGACAAATAGGGCGATCGCCCCAGCCACAGCGCCGCTGGAAAAGGTAAACTCTGAGGACAGCCAGGACCTGAAGACCTGGCTGGCTGGGCACTGGTGCAAAGCTTTGCCCGATGCTTCTCAAACACCTCTCGCAGATCTTAGAGGACTCGGTCCAGGCTTCGTCGCCCAAGGCAATGACCTAGCCCTCGGACGCCGGGAGAAGGGACCAGGACACCCGAGACCCGGCCCCGGATAGCGGAGACAGGCACCGGCCTGGGAAGCGAATCGACCCGCAGCCGCTCCTCGCTCTCACCTCTCCAGTTCTTGTACTGGGCGATGTAGTAGTATTTGTTTCCCAGATGGTCCGTGCCTACATGCTCCCTCACCTCCTTCGACAGAGAGCTCCACAAGGAGCGGAGCACAGCCCGCCACCAGCCCATTCCGCTGCGCGCAGCTCAGCGTCCCGGGACTCGCGCCGGCCGGGAGGGCCCGCCTACACGAGGCCCCGCCCACCGCTCAGGTTCGCGTTCTCGCACCTCCCAGTAACGCCGCTCCTCGTTGGTTGTGTCACATCGCGGATGAGCCAATGGGAGACCATGTTGTTACAACTCGGGCCAGGTTGTGTCATGGCGGCACCCAGGCCTCAAGCGGGTGAGCCGAACCGAGATGTTGAGTTTTCTGTCCGCTCGACAGTCGGGTTTGGAGGACCCTCTTCGTTTGCGGAGAGCGCAGTCCACACGGAGGTAGGGAACGCCTTGTCTTTTCCTCTAACGTACCGAGTGAGACTCCCGAGCAGGGACTTAGGATGGCAGGACCGTCGGTCCGAAGATGAAGAAGTCGGCAGGTGCCAGAGAGGAAGACCCGCGTGTACATGTCGAGCAAAGTCTGAAGGTGGAACCCCGGTCACAATTATCGTAGCTTGCCGTCTGCTTGAAGAATGAAGTTGAAAGTGGGAGTGGATCGAGTTAGGGAACTGTCGCTCCAGGAGAGCTGATGGGCGTTCATTCAGGGAGTGAGGTTGCAAATGAAATGAATAAAGCTGGGAATTATCGAAGAAATCGATCGGATGTGTGGAGTTTGATTTTCAGGTATATGCCTGCGGGGCGAATGCTGGTGGCGTAGTCAAGATTTTCCCAAGGGAAAGCTGTGCTTATAATTTTGCACTGTTTTGAAATACCACATAGGATACCTGAACGTGACAACTGACTTTTCACCAAAGCACACTGCAGCAGAAGGTGGGAGGTAGCCTCTTCACGTGACCTAATCTCGGGACTTCTCGCTTATCAGTTTTGTCATATTCTAGCCAATCAGGAGTGAGTCACAGATCAGGCTCGCTCAAAGTGAGCGAATTACCAAAGCTCACCAATACTAAGAATTAGAGACCATTGGAAGCCGATTCCAGGCCTCCCGGATCATTGAGAAACAAAACCAACAAAGAGTCTGCTTTCAACAATTATGCTTTATATACTGAAATATAATTATATTGCGTTCATTTTTACATTTTAGTGTTCTTTATTTAGAATAAAACCTTCCAGAATTTATTTAAATTGTTTTAGCTAAATGAGTTAACAGGCAACTTTTTTATAGCCACATTTTGATGAGTTCTCAACATGATCGGCGCTGTTTGTATCTGCTCCTGGTGTTCTCTCATCAGTCCGTGCGGAAATGACTCTTTTCTAACTCACTTCTGCATTCTTGGACATAGCCAGAAGTTTTCATTTCGGAGACTACAAGAACCTAACATCAGGACTACCCATCTTTCTGATTATGCGACTAGTTCTGGGGTTTTTTTTTCCCATTATGTTCAGCAAAGGAAACACTGGGAAATGAATGACCGTGCTTACTAAAAAACTTTTTTTTAAACAACAGCATTACTCTTTTTCTCCTTGTAGTTAATAGTTAATCTTATAGGAGTTTATCTCACAGAGTTATCTCTGTGTAAGTGAGCCACAGAGGATCTGCAAATGTGGGATTCTAAGTCTTAATGTCCAGTGTCCTTGGTCTAAGGAAGCCTTAAGGTCTTTGTCAACATTCTGTGACCTAAATTTCTTGTTTCATTAGAAAATAAGAGTTCAAAACAAGAGGTCCCACTAGATTAATCTACAAGTCAGCGGATTTCATTTCTCCTTGAAGTGTTATTTCCAAAGCACAATTTTGTGTTTCCGCCTGCAAACTTATATCTTAGCAACACCAAACACTTTTTCCCCCACCAGTTGTCTTCTGTGTTTATAATAAAATGGTACTGGCTGTGCTTGAATTGAGACCATTGATGGGGCTGTGAAGCTTTTCTGCTTTATGTTCAATCCTGGAGGAGCCAAGTTTGAGACCTAAAAGCCCACCCCCACAGTGACACACCTCCTCCAACAAGGCTACACCTTCGCATCTAATAGTGCCACTTCCTATAGGCCAAGCATTGAAATATGAGTTTATGGGGGGTGGCTTTTCAAGCCACCATAACATCCGGTGGCTGCACAGATTGTCATCCAAGTATCTTTTTTCTATATAGATATATGATATCTATAAAGATATTATATAGATATATCTATATAGATATATATCAATTGGTTGCTTTAAAGCTGTCTTTAGTTGTCAGCAATTTGGCTGTGGTGTATCTAGATGCAGCTTTCTCTGGGTTTACTCTACATGTATCTGTTTTACTTCTTGAGTTTGTAGGTTCACAGCGAGTTTTCAGTCATTTTTCCTTCCAGCTGTACTGCCTGCCCTGTGTTCTTTCTCTTGTCCTTCTGGAGCCTGTTTTAGATTAACCTTAGTCCTGTTTTACATGTTCTGTTGGTTCCTAAAGCTATATTATGTCCTCTCCCCAAGCCTTTCCCTATATGTTGTCAGCTTGTGCCAGTTCCCGTCTGCTACTGAGTCTGTTAAGTGAGCGTGGACCTGTTTATAATCTCGCACAAGCATTTTCTACGGCTACCTTGAGGTGTGGCTCCAAAACCATGCTGTCTCAGCTGTAGCTCCTCTTGATTGAAGTCTTTTTCCCATGGAACTTGTAATTTCCATGGTTCTTCATAAGCAGAATAAATTATTTTGAATTGCAACCTAAATATTTTGAACACTTGCAGGGTGTGGTGTCCTTCTTTACTCTATGAAGAATATTGATATTTTTGTTTCAGTAGTAACTTATCAGATTAGATATAGGCTATGGTTCCTACCTCTCTGTAGGCTGTGCTTCAAAACCACTAGGTCTTCCCCAGTGCATGACTCACTGGCCAGGCAGTGACCTAAGTGGCATGTGGTTGAGTCTGGAAATTCTTTTGCGGGGTGTTCAGGATTGGATCCATGCATGTTGCACTCGAGGATGAGTTCAACATCTGAACAGTTCATGAACTGTTTTATGGGTTTTACTTCTGATCTTTATCTTTGCTTATGATTGCCGAGCTTTCTGGAACTCCCATCTTGGTCCTTCAGCCAGCAAATTTGACCTCTGGTTACTTTTGTACCACACATTTCATGTTTGGACCCAAGGCAGAATTCAGAATAATAAAGACATGTTAAAAAAAATCAAAACACTAATGAGAAAAAAAATAATTTCGTTTAAACTGCTGTGGGAAGAAGTATAATTTGCATTTCTATGCTCTTAGAGAAATGAGACTCTTAAATTGTGTAATTCAAACGTTTCTCCACTGGGTGTCCTCAGTCACGTTTATCAGAATCTTTTTCTTGAAAATTTATCCCTAGATAACTTTTTAAGGACTAAACTCTTTAAATGAAATTTAAGGTAATGTTTCAAGTGAGATATTTGCATGTAGTTGTTGAGAACTTGTTTTAGAGGCTTATATTTACAAATCTGAACACCTTTAAATATGGTAAGAGACTAAATAAAGATTTGCAGTAATCCATGTAATCTTGGGAAAATAAGAAATTTGCTTATGTTAAAGTTTTTCTTATTGCTAAGTTTTTTCTTTTTCTCTTTAATTTTTGAAGAGTCCTGGGACTGGAGTTAAACAAAGACAGAGATGTTGAAAGAATCCATTGCAGTGGAGTTAACACTCTTGACATTGAGCCTGTTGAAGGAAGATAGTAAGTTGTGTCTCCACTTTTCTATCTAAATGAGATGCAGTAAAAACTTGTCCTTTTAGATTGATTAGTAGATATCAGTTATAATGTGTTAAAAAAATTTAAATTGTTGCATTTGTTGAGCTGTCATTTATTCATTTGAAATAAAAACAAAATCAAATATGTAAAACTTTGCCAGCTCTATCAATACTCCAAACTACTGTGGCATAGATATATTCATGTTAAATCAATAAACCCAGGAATTTATGTTTTGCAGGAGGTTTCTAAATGCAGGGATGTATCTTGGGTGCTCTTTTAAATATAGTTGTTACTGTCGAGAAATCTAATGGGAACTAAAATATAAAAGCAGAAATGTATTTGACAAATTAAGTTTGAAGCATCAATTTTGCTGAGTTTCTTTCTTACCAGCTCTGTGACCTGGTGCAATTACCTAACCTTCCAAATTTTCAATTGCCATAGCTGTTTGATGGGAATGATCGTGTTTAGCTTATTTGTCACACGAATTTGAGAAAATCTGTACCGAAAGCAGCTTCACGTGCATGTTGAATTGTTTCAGCTCTTGGTCCACAGTGTAGCTGAACATGTTCCCTAGTCACAACTTGTCGTCACACCACACTACTCATATAGGAGGGTTTGGGGGAGAATGCAGCTCTCCGGCAGAATATATGATTTGCATGCAGAAGGATCTGGGTTCAATCTGGAGCAGAAGGGGGAGGAGAAAAGAATGGTGGTAAGGAAGGTGAACTCAGAGCCCTTCATGAGGGCTGAGGCTGTAGTTCAGTAATGGACCCTCATCTAGCATGCACAAGGACCTGGACTCAAGCCCCGCACTACAAGAAATAGAACAAATCAGTCTTTATGTGGTCTACAATTAGACCTTGTATATTTAAAAAAAAAACTAAGGAAAATAGTTTCTCGTGCTATAATCTGTTCAGCAGTCACCCTAGAGTTTTGGTTTAATAAAGTATTGTCCTTCGCTTTAACGTAAGTCAGAATAGGTCTGGCAGACTTGCACTTTCTACTTTTACCTCTGCCATAATAATAGTGTGTAAGAAATGTGTGGCGAACAGAGTTCTCCATTTAGCACAGGGCTAAATTTAAAAGATGGTACACAATAATTCTTTCCTTTCCCCTAGCTTTCCAAGGCAAAACATAGTATTTCCTGTTCAAGGACAGTTGTGGGGCTCTCATTTGTAAAAATAGGTGCAGATCCAAGGAATACAGGACAGCTGATTTCTTTTGGTCATTGTTGCCAGTGGGAAGAAAATATACTAGTGTTCCAGCCCAGCTGTTTGGCATAGTGTAACCTGTGAGTTACAGTAACCAGTTAGCAGAATCAGTCTGAACTGGTGAATTACAGTTTACATATGTGTGGAGTATGTTTGAGGAATATAGGCTGAAGAGCATTTCCACAGGTCACTCAAAGTCTGAACCACTCAGCACAGTAGCACTCCCTTTAATACATG